TGTTTTTATTTTCATTTGTTCATCACGTGTTTTTTGAACACTCACTATATGTACTTTGCTAATATTTGGAGATGAAAGTACCTTTAGTAATTGAAAAAAAATGAATTAGATTCTAGTGGGAAAGATAGATAATAATCAAAGAGGAATCCTGATGGATACCTAAACATAAACAGGGAAATAAACAGGGTTTTATGGAGTATGTTATAAAGGTGCCTGAGTTGGTGTCAGGGAAGGCCTCTCAGGGAAAGCTGGGTTATGAAGAATGAGTTTGTTAGATGAAAAAAGCTGAGGATGAAAAGGAGACCAAGCATTCAAGGAATAGCTTCATGAAAAAAGAGGAAGCACTGAGGCTGAGATGCAGAGAGAGACCATATGAGCCCAGAAAGTGAAGGTGAAAGTCGCTCAGTCGTGTCCGACTCTTTGACACCCCATGAACTATACAGTCCATGGAGTTCTCCAGGCCAGAATACTGGAGTGGGCAGGCTTTCCCTTCTCCAGGGGATCTTCCCAACCCAGGTCTCCCACACTGCAGGCGGATTCTTTACCAGCTGAGCCACAAGGGAAGCCCAAGAATGAACCCAGAGAGGATGGCAAAACGGAGACCTAGAAAAGTCCTATTTGAAAGATTCTGATCTCACTGCTAAAGAAATGAAAGACAATTAGTGGCTTTAAATTGGAGAGTGACCACAATCAGATTTGCATATGAAAAAGACCACTCTTCCATCAATGACTGGAGCACGAAACAAAAGCAGTTAGTAGAAGGGGCAGCTATGGCAACGGCTCAGATTAAAGTGATGACTGTGTATAAATTCTAGACACATTCAGGGCACAGGTCAATACAGCTTGGTGACAGGTGGGTATGGAGTTGAAGCAGAGAAGACAACATCAAAGATGACCTGGCCGCCCAGATGAACGGGGACGCCCTTTGCAGAAAGAGGTGACACTACAGAGTTCCGGGTCTGCGGGAAGATGATGAGAGTGCATTGGAGAAGTGGAGAAATCCAACTGGAGTTAGCTAGATGAATATGGAACTCAGAGAGACTCCAAGTCTGAGAGGATAAAGAAAAAGAATAAAGACCGGGCCGTGCGTTTTCTGTCAATGCACCAAAGTATCAATAATTTTGAAAAGAATGACAGATAAAAGGAAAAAAAAAAAAGTTGTAAACCGAGACAAGCATAAAACAGTGAACATATTTTATAAGGCTAATCTTAGGAAAATAAATGGTTTTTATGAATCTTAGATATATAATAAAAGGTGGGGCCTAGTGAACAAATGGTGTTGAGTCAAACAAAAGAGCAGAGTCAAAAGTCCTGGTTGTTGGAACTAATCCCTGTCTTTTAAGAAGGGGCAGCTGAGATCTGGGTGGGGGAGTATCATGTGTGACAAAAGCTGTATAAACCTTTGAGGTGGGGTGGGATGAAGGTGGCTCGTGGAGTTATGAAGCTTTCCCCTTATTAAGATAACTACAATAAGTTACTCTCAGAAGTTCCTACCCAAAGTAACCAGGTCACTCCATGCCGTCTTGGAACTAACACATGAGCATATGCAAGACCAATAAGTTTCTCTGGAAAAGACTCATTTAAGTAAAGTCATGCTGAAGCAAAAATCATATATTAATTTTAATGCAGTTCTGAGTATTCAAATAGAGACATATTTTACTTTATACAAAAGCAAATTTATACTCACACTTTGATAAGGAACGCAAACCACAAATAAGTTATGATTTTTACTAGAACAGCAAACATTTTTTAAAGGAAAACAAAAGTTGATCTAGGCCTCCAGTTCTTAGGCATAAATAGCTATCTCAAATCTTCAGAATGTCTACATTTTTTTTTTCTGGTGTTCCATGTAAAGTTTCTCTTGATCTCTTTGAACTCCTAGCCTTTAGAATTAAAGCATTCTACAGATTTTTTTATACATAGTGAGGTGGGATTTAGTTCTTCTTGTATGTCATGTGTCCCTTAGAATTTGAGAAAGAAAGCAAGCCTTATAGCCTGTTATTTTTTTTTTAAGGTCATGACATATTGTTCAATTCCCTCTTGACTTTAGAAGTTCCACTTTTTCCTGTATAGCAAGAGTGAAATATTTGGGGGGAAAAAGGCTGTGTGACATGAACTATGGTAGTAGGGTACATAGATTTATGTAATACATTAAAAGAACTCCAAAATAATCATTTTACAGTTACTAGCTGTAAGGCAGGTAAAAAAGCCTTGTCTAGAATCCATGTCTGATTCCAGATAAGAGAGTTTCTAATTCTTGCTGGGCTTGGTACTTTTTGTTTTCAATCATCCTTCAGGGCAAAACCACTCATTCTTAAACTAGTCTGTTTTAAAAGTAAACTCATAGTTTATGTCAAAATCTTTATCCACGTTCTCTCCACAAGAGGTAAACAAAGGGAAGCTTGAAAAACAAAATTGCTATGATATGTACACACCTCCTTAGATTTCCCTCATTCTAAGGATAATGTTGGGGACCAGTTTTAGGATATTTACTGAATATCAAGGTGCTTGGGAATGAACAATTAAGTTTATGTAAGCTACTGACAAGGTATGTAGTCCAAATATTTGGGGTATGAGGTCTAGAAGATTAGTTGGCAACTACCTTCTTTAGGCTTCAACACTGCCAGGATGTTTGACTGTTTGGTTTTTTTTTTTTTTTTCCCTTACAAAAACATTCAGGTGCCCATGTTTAGCATTCCAATTACTTCAGGCAGGTCAAGACAAGGTCTAACAATGACAAAATAAGACATTGACATAACAATTTAATAGAAACAATCTTGAATTTATATGCTCTTTAAAATATCATATTTCAAAAGTGAAATTTCAGGATTTTTTCTTTTGATTAACAGCCACCAAGAAGAACATTTGCGTGTGTTTAACAAGGGTAGAAATACTGCATCAAAAATATTTCTTGAATATTGTGAACAAAGGAGCCACAAAAACTCAGCCTGAACTGTGACATCCTGGAATTCTGCACAGCCAGGATCAGATCTAAACCCTCAGTAGCAAGCAGGAGACTCAGAAGATGCTGACTTTAATTACAAACTTTATTTGTCAATACAATTCACAGTTTATACATGGTGCAATCCACCATATGAACTTTCAGAATAGTTATCGAGGAAATGAGTGTAGCTTTCCTTCTAAAAGAGCCTGACTTTCTGAAATTTTGGTTAGAATTCTTTTAAGTTTATAAAAGTACCTTCAACAAGTTAACTGAATATTTACATTTCTAGCTTAAATTTTGAAAAATAAGCATCTTTTAAATTTTCTTTTTTTTTTTTAAGATCCTGGGTTTATTTTTTAAGACCCTAATATGAATGCCACTTATTCAAATACTCCCACCCCCAAGAATAAAAGTCATGTTTTGCAATTATATTTAGGGAAATCATTTTCTTTCTGTGTTTTAAAAATTTTATTTACAATGTACAGCAGATTTATGTATGAAAATAAAAGAAAGAGGAGCGATCTACTAGGTGCCTTTACTGAATTTCTTCTGAATCCTGAAAACCTCCAAAGAGTTGCAGGATATAAAATTAAACTAAAGAGGACTAACAGCCTTTTCTATCTTAAAAAAAAAAAAAACTCTCAAGATTTAAATTGTGCTATAACAGCTTTTTCTCTAATGTCAGAGATGAATTATGCCTGCAATCTGCATTTTTCCATGTGCAAAATCACAGTGATCCAGTTTCAGCTTCTGCTTTCACACTCAGCCACATCTCCAGAGGTACACCCACAGAAGGCGAGGGCTGTGCCCAGCTCTGCCTACATATCCCCTCCCCTCACCGGGCACAAGTTACCCGGGGGAAGAAAACCATATAAGCCTTTCATACATCAGAAAACAGATAGATGCTGGCAGTAAAATGTTTATTAGCAAATGCTTATAACACATCGTTTGGCTCTCTTCGTGTCATCTGAGTGGCAATTCACACCAACTGTCTAAATTCATCTTCAATAATCCATTTTAACAGTTTTCTTTTGTCAGATCACTTATGGATATGTGCGTGTGTATATATATATATATATATGGATATATATGGATTTTCTTCTTCCACCTTTAAAAGATGTGTATATATATATATATATATATATATATATACACACACACACACATATATATATACATCATAGTAATAAATGATAAATTTTAAATACTGCCAGGAAAAAAAGGGACTGTTTGGGAGCAGTCAATTTTACTGGCCTGGTAATAATTACACTGTATACATGTACCATTGGTACCCGAGTCAAATAAATACTCAGAGGGGCCATCTCTGCACCTCATTTCTCTGCAGTGCCTGTAACGCTAGGGTTTCTGAGTGTTGCTTCAGTGTCCATCTAATTTGGCATCTATTCCTTCTTCGGGCATCATCACTTCGGTCATTTTACACACTTTTCCAGCAAGGTATGGTATTCAAACGGGAGTTGTGGGGAAAAGGACTGTGGAGTTGAGCCTAGGGGTGGGGCAGGGAAGGAGAAACCACACATTAGCTAGAGAGGTTCTGTTTCTTCATAAGATAAGGCACTGACAGAAAATTTCTTAGGTAAAAGGCTGCATAAGAATTTCTTGCCATTTACAAAAAGAAATGTTGTCATCCATAAATGGTCCATATCTAGGCTCAGTTAGGTAGACCCTGAAAAGTAAGGACTGATCCCTCAAAGCTACATTATTACCAGAAACAATTATAATTCATTCTGAGGCCTTATGGCACATTAGGAAAAGAGGGAGGAAAACAGTCTGGGCACAAAAAAGGCATCAGACATCGCTTGTTTTATTCCACTTGTCAAAGAAAGTGGACTGTTCCAACAAGCATCATCAAAAAAAAAAATAGTGCTGGCTCAGAATTCCAAATTCTCTTGATGGCAGATGACCATGATGGGTGTATCTATTTTTTTTCCCCCTTTGGAGCTCATGCACAATTTTAAAAATGCTACCAGCAACAGTCATAAAGAGCATATAGAAGTCCTCACCTAATGGCTATGCCTGAGGCTCTTCAAAGAGAGGGCTACTTAATGTTCTCAATAACAGCAATTTCCTCGCCTGCACAATGTGGTGTCAATCCGTTCAAATAGATACTTTCTGTTTTCAGTAAGGAAGGCAGGACGTCCCTCTCGCTGGCCAGGTGGTTCACGGACAGGGTCCTCCTACAGGGAGTCAGCTCCTGGTTGTGGTTCCCAGCCAGTTCTGCAGAGAGCTTCCGCTTGATGGAGGTGGCGCGCTGGAACTTGTCATAAATCTCCACGCTCAGCCGCCTCCTGGTTTCCTTGAATTCAGCCGTGACGTTGGCCGTCCACTCAGCAGCATGGGCTCTGAACTCTCCCACCTGGAACATGCATGCAGAGAAAAGACAGACATACCAACAGGACAGTCAACATTCTGTGTGCTTTATCCTCTGATCACTGAATTTGGAAGGTCTGAAGAGGAGGTTGTAGCTTTTTGTAATAGGAGCCATCTGAGAATTGAGGTCACCGCACAATTTGTGAAGAGCAAGATTCCGTTTTATGCAGATATGACCCTAAAAATGAATCTATGAGCTTAAACTCTATTAACCAAATTATATGAGAGGTGCTAGATGTCCTTGTTTCTGGAGATGAGTCCTGTCACTGATGCTATAAAAAGGCAATCTCTAACTTTTTAAAACTCTGGTTTTTTTTTAATTTGTAATTTTAAGAAGGATTTGAATGTGGAGAAGTCAGGAAGACATAGGAGAAGCAGCAAGACAGAGTAAAAGAGCCTGGACTGTGAACCCAGCTGACTTGGTTGGTTCTCATAGCAGCCATGCTTTCTGCTCTGAATATAAACACAGATTTTAGAGACCAGAAATGATGTGTGCAAGAACTCTGAATTCAACCCTATACTGGTCATTTAGGAATCCTCTGTTTACTAAATAAGCAACAAAATGTTTTGTCTCTGCTTCCAGGGAAAGCAAATAGAAAAGGACTGACAAGTTTATTGTGAGGCCCATTTGAAAAATTTCCAAGAAATAGTTTCTCAATGAATGTTTATGGAATTAATTTAACGTGTCTGAGCTCCCATTTCCTCAGCTGTAGAACAGGCATCTTTACAGTATATACCTAACAGGATGGTTGAGCTAATGTAGTTCAACTGCAATGTAATTATGACTGTGGCTTTTGTTTGAAAGTTGAAGGAAAAAAATTTTGCCAAGTCCTAACCATGTGGCCCTAAAGAATCTGCTTGCAATGCAAGAGACTGGGGTTGGATCCCTGGGTTGGGAAGATGCCCTGGAGGAGGGCATGGCAACCCACTCCCGTATTCTGGCCTGGAGGATTCCATGGACAGAGGAGCCTGGCGGGCTACAGTCCACGGGGTCGCAAACAGACGCAACCGAGCGATTAACACTTTCACTTTCAAGCATGTGCATAAGAATGTTCTCTCTGACCCCTTTAAAATAAGGTCTATACTTTAGTGACCTAAAACAGAACATTGACCAACCCCATGGTAAACTTTTTCTTAATCAACTAGAATTCAGTAATCAAGAAGATTTCCTAGAATAATCTCCTAAGGTGGAGCAAGTCCCTCATCCCTCATTGGTAGCGCTTGTGCTTTGGGGGCCCCACTTCACTCACTGTTTGAACGATGTGGGCACCTCCTTATCTGGCAAGTGTTAACTACAGCTTTGTTTGGTTTTCTTTTACCTCTGTTGCTTTTCGTTTTAAATTTTGATATAGGAAACATAATTGATAGTTTCTGCTACAGTTTGAATTCCTAAAAATTCATATATTGAAACCCTAACTCCACAGGTGATTGTATCAGGATGTGGGGCCTTTGGGAAGCACTTAAGTCATGAAGTGAAGCCCTCATGAATGAGAGCAGCATCTCACAAAAGAGAATCTAGAAAAATCCCTCACCCCTTCCACCATGTGAGGACACAGCAAGAAGGCTCTGGCTCCAAACCAGGAAGAGAGTCCTTTATCATGCTGACACTATGATTTTGAATCTCCAGAAATGTGAGAAATAAATGTTGTTTATAAGATCCCCAGTGTGTGGTATTTTGTTATAGCAGCCTGATGGAACTAAGTGAGGTTCTAAATATTTACACTGAAAGTCATAGATATGTGTGTGGGTTGCGGGGGGGTGGGTACACAAGATGGAAACTGTTCAAATATCCTTGGAAGGTGGCACATAGCAGATCAACTCTTCCACATCCACCCATAATTACATACATACATACATTTCATGATCTACTTTTTATTTTAAAAAGGTTTACTTTCTACTTGTATTGTCCTAACAAGGAATAATTGCTTGTTTTCCAGATCTGGTTTTGGAAAAAGCAAAAATGGAAAAATGAGAAGTTTGTGGCACACACAATTTGCAAGATCAAGCATTCCTTAATCACTGAGGCATCTTAGAGGGAACCTACAGGAAAAGAAGTGTTAATTTTATAGCAATTCAGCCTGAAGATTCTAACTGTTCTCATAAGGGACTGTGCCTGACTGCACTTAGCTCCAAAAACAATTACTGAAAGTTTAATTCTGCTTTGGGGAAACTCTCTGAATTAGGCAGTATCGATCAGCGGTTAGAAATGCTGAATCACTCCAAACACACTTATAAACAAACCTTCCAACTGTTTATATTCTTTTTCTGTTTGCCCAGCTGTCTTTTTCATTAGACTAAGCATTTTTGAATCTGGGATCTATACTATATTCATTGGTGTATAAAAAACATCTAGTATCTGGAACAGAAAAAGCACTCAGGAGAAATTTGATGAATTGCGCTGAATTAATAAGTAAATACTATTTATAAAATTTTGAAATAAATATTTTTAACATAAAAAGTTAAGAGATTCAGTTGTTTCTCAGTTTTGATTTAATTTTAAAGACTTAAAATTTCTGTATGCTTACAGAGAGAACCTGATTAATATGGTCTTGAACAAAACAGTTATCATTGTCCAACATATCATTAAATTCTCCTAGTTTACATTACAAATAAATAATCTCAAGCAGTGTAAAATTTGCTGTTTAAAATAAAACAATTGCTATTGATGAAAAACTAAACATTCTATCTGATTTTATTCCCATCTTACCAATGATTTTATTAAAAAGGAATTAACCTGTTCTATTTGAGAATTCATAATTTTCCAAGTGTAAAAAGAAAAAATACTAATATACTATTTTCTATTATGAGCTTATCTTAACAGTATGGTTACTACTATAAAGAAAACAGCTAAGAGTCTACATATTTGTTTAAATAAATGTTTGTGAAAAGTATAAGAATTAATTACTATATTCACTTTCCTCCCATAAATGACTGGTTAACTAGAAATAACCACTTTCTTAGAGGACATCCATCTGAGTAAGCCCCTAAATCATGCCTCAAGTCTGGAGGCACTGTCAAAACTGATGGACCTAAAATTAGGTCTATTGTCTTTTTGAAATTAATTTTTATTGGCGAATAGTGATTTACAATGTTGTGTTAATTTCTGCTGTGTGGCAAAGTGAATCAGTTATGCATATACATGTATCCATTGCTTTCTAGAGTCCTTTCCTGTATGTCCTTACAGAGTGCTGAGTAGAGTTCCCTGAGCTACATGGTAAGCCCTTGTTAGTTACCTGTATCATATACAGTGGCGTGCATATGTCAACCCCAATCTCCCAATTTGGAGGGAGGGGTAAATTTGGAGTTTGGGATTAACAGATACACACTACTACATATAAAATAGATCACCAGCACGGACCTACTGTACAGCACAAGGAACACTACTCAATATTTTGTAATAACTTATAAGGGAAAAATCTGAAAAAGAATAGCTATGTGTACATGTATAATGGAATCACTTTGCTGTACATCTGAAACAAAAACAACATTGTAAATCAACGATACTTCAATAAAAAACTTATTGTTAATAATAGATTTTGCTTGTCTAAAATGCAGGTGTTAATGCTTTTATTTGCTAATTTTCTATCTCATACAACTAGGATGTAAGTTCTATGTATATCCCAACACCTAGGATAGTACCTGGTATGTGGCTGACTTCTAAGAAATACCTGTTAAATGAATGAGTATATGCCCCCCAAATTCATGTTCTCTGTCATCTCACACCTGAATGATAACAAGAGCCATATGCATGCATACCACCACTGGTCTTTCTTCTCCGTTCTAACCTTTATTCCTCCTCCCTTTTGATGACCATTAATATTTTTGCAAAAATGGTCTTATATTAAACATACACAAATAGATTTTTTTCACATAACCAATTTTAGTCTTTTTTTTCCCTAGTAGTACTCATTATACTACCTCACAGAGAAGGAAATGGCAACCCACTCCAGCATTCTTGCCCGAAAAATCCCATGGATGGAAGAGCCTGGTGGGCTACAGTCCACGGAGTCGCAAAGAGTTGGATACGACTGACTGACCAACACACACACACATACCACCTCATAGTTTATACTGGCTGCCTAGCATTCCACGGGATGATGGATGTGGCATGCCCCTGTTGATGAATAAGGGTTTGTTTTTTGTTTGTCTTCTTTTGCTATAGAAAACAATACTTGAGTGAATATCCTTATATCCATATCTTGGTTAATGTGATCAAGAATTACTAGAAGTGGAAAAACTGTGTCAAAAGATACATATATTTTCAGATTTTGAGGATGCTGAAATTTCCATCTAATCCCTACTGTCTTCAGACTCAAGGTCCCCAGTCACCCCACTATTTCCTCTTTTTGCACACTGAGGTAACCATTGTCTTTTCACAGCAAAAAAAGCACTAGATCATGGATCCTGCAGAGAAACTCTTTTAGAGATTTTAATCATCTCTCTATTGTGACTGGAAATTTAATTGGTCATAAAAAATTGACTGAAAAATGAAAGCCTTCCTTAACTTGATCTGATTTTTCTCCATAAGCAGGTTTCTTCAAGTCACCATGATCACTGAGGTTGCACTAATGACATGCAGCTTTCTGCAGAGCAAGGTGCTTCCACAAATTAGTGATTCCTGCAAATTAGTAAAAGCCTAAATACAAGGAAAGCTCAGACTTGTCTGAGTTCATAACTCTAATTTCTCATCTTTAATCGAACTCAATCTCTGGCAGAGGCTGGTAGAATACTGCTTCTAGGGACATTTTTCTTTTCTTCTAATTTTTCTGGAGTTCCCAGGGGTGGAAATGCAATCTCTGGAGGTCATAAGGGCTGCATCTGGAAATATCATCAAACAGGGATAGAAGGGGTTAGCAAGAGGTGAGAAGAAACCTCCATTTCCAGCTCTGTCACTTAGCTGGGTGCCTACAGCCAAGCAGTTTAACCTTTTTTGAGTTTCAGATTCCTTATCTATAAAATAAGGTCATAATAATCTGTTTCACAGGA